AAAAAATCTGATAAATCCCTGAAAAATCATGTAAAAAGCAGGTAAACTGCACAGAAATCATATAAAAAGCAGCTAAACCCCACAAAAATAATATATATATAAAGCAGCTAAACCCCACAAAAATCATATAAAAAGCAAATAAACCCTGCAAAAACATGTAAAAATCAGATAATCTCTGCAAAAATATGTAAAAATCAGGTAAGTCCCGCAAAAATCATGTAAAAAGCAGACAAATCCTCCAAGCGTCATGTAAAAAAAAAATCAGACAAACCCCCCAAAAATCATAAAAAAAAAATAAACCTCACGAGAGTCTTAAATGGGGTAAAATTGCATCTTTTTTGCACCCTGTGTGTTAGAAGCTGGAGCCCAGGCAGCTCCATGTCCGTGTGAGGAAGAACTTCCTTGGTGTGAGGGTGCCGGAGCCCTGGCACAGGCTGCCCAGAGAGGCTGTGGAGTCTCCTGCTCTGGAGATCTCCAACCCGCCTGGATGCGCCCGGGTGCCCCGTGCTCTGGGTGTCCCTGCTGGAGCAGGGGCTGCACGGGGGGATCCCTGGAGGTCCTGGCCACCCTCAGCCCCTCTGGGATCCTGCGGGACACGCGGTGCGCGGCGGTGGCTACGTACGGCGCCATGCGACGGCTGCGTGCGGCTCCGTCTCTCTTCCTTGAGGTGTCCCAGATTTTGGAGGGGGGAAACAGCCACCTTGAGCTGCCCTCGGCACTGGCCACTGAGGTCGGTGATGTTGTACCAGCCACACACGAGCTGGAAGCCGGAAAGGAGAGGAGAAAGGTCCACGGATGCAAATCCTATCACTCGCTCGGACTCTGCGCAAGAGGAATATGAAGCATATTCGGTTAAGGCAAGAGGAATATGAAGAGGAATATGAAGCATATTCGGTTAAAAGAAGAAAATTTCAGCAATGATAAAAGGCAGGCAGCCCTTGAAACACTTACAGGCTTTGCCGGGACAACTAAAATGCACAAAGGTGGGTTAAAAGTCAGTTCTCATAAGGTAAAAAGCAAGTGAAAGCTAAAAAAGAGTGGGGGGAAATGAATAACAGTTTAAGAAAATAGAAAGGAGACTAAAGATTTAGATTTAGGTTGCTAGCAGGCTTCTAATCAGGATAGTCATGATGGCTGATGGAAAAAGACTGTTTTAAACAACTGGAGCAGCTGCATCCCTACATATTTGCCAAAAGTGGCTGTTGCTGATTTAATAACTGCTATCAAAAAATAAATTAACATCTATGTTGTCAATAATTCACAGCAGAACGGGCCATGCTGTAGATGTAAGAAAGCTCATGAACCCTGCGTGGTACCTCAGCAAGAAGCTCAAATGAGGGTTCTAGCACAGGGAAAGACGTTTAGCTCAGAAATAGGCTAGAAACAAGAGACAAACAGAAGTAAAAAATGAACGTGAAGGCCAACTCGGGGACCTCAGCAAGTGTGTTCTGCAGACAGAATTTTATTCTCACTGCCACAATGCAAGTTTCTTACATGCTCACTTAGCCAAAACTTTCAAAAAGGCTGATTTGTCCCCATGCTGTTGCATTTTGTGCAACATTTTGTCTTTTCTGTGTTGCAAATTTATCTGAAGTACAGAACAAACAATCCTACCCGAAAGAGGACATTGTTTTTTTCAGGATAATTCTTCTATTGTAAGAAATAATTCTTACAATTTATCTTTGACACATCCTATCAAAGTATGTGATGCCAATTGGATTAAAAATCAGTAAAAAGTCCATCTGGCCTGAAAGGTCAAACAGTCTTTCTTCAGGCAAATTTCTTTTTTTACAACCAATACTGTAATCTTAATCATTTCTATTTTATCATCTGCTTCTAGAAAATAAGCAAAATTTGTAATATTTACACTGTTACTGAAACTGCTTTACAACTCAAGCATTGCTGGCCACACTTTAATAGATAATTCAGACAAAAAAATCAGTGCACAGAATATTGAGTTAAGAATGTCTCTTTGACAGGAAAACCAATCCTCCAAAATCTTGTGGAATTTAAAAATGAAAAGAATAAGCAGGTTACAAACAAATCAAATCCTGCTACAAGATCCACAGGGAAAAGGATGCTGATGCAGTGGGATACATCTAATGTAAAACAAAAATATCTTTACAGTTTCACTCTCCTATTTTCTTTGGGCCTACCAGTGGAAAGGGATGCCAGCAGCACTCTCAATACTGCGCTGCAAACCTTACCTGCTTTATGCCACACTTTGAAGACCAAGGTCTGCTGTGGATCCAAGAGAAGTTCTTTGGACAATCTGTTAGGGATAAAATCATAATTTGCTACGTAAAGTAGTAAAAACAGCAAGAACAGTAAAATGTCTCTGAAGATTCAGTGTTGTTTTATCTATCCAGACAAAACAGTTTGTCCCTTCAATGGGGAAAAAACTCACTAATTTCTTGGAAGCCCAGTCTTATATGGTTTTGGCTTTTGTTTATCCAAAATGGTCTTTTCTTAGGTTGCTGGATTACAGTTTATGGCTTAGGGCACCTTGGAGTGGTCGGTCAATTCACACCTGCCCTGAGTTGGGCTCAGATATCCACGTCCGAGCTGCACCCCCTGCACTGTCCCTAAACTCCCAAGCAGGTCTCCCAAGGGAATGATTTTTCCCATAGGGAGATGAGGATCTACCACAGGTCAGGGGACTCGCCGAATACGGGGCCTGTGTCACTCCAGTGGCTGTGGAGGAAGCTCAGGGTGAACAGCTCCGACTCCAGACACCTAAATTCCAGGTATCCAAAGCCAGAGCAGGTGAATCCCACTTTAGAGGGAAGCAGGGCGTCCTTCTAAGGATGGAACAAAGCCAAACACGTGGGAAAAAGGCCAATAAATTGGATCAAACTTAAATAAATCTTCCCTAAAGCCTTTTGTTACTCTCAGCCTCTTCCTTCAGGTGGGAAAAGGCCCCCTAACTGGGAATGTTTGTTCCACAGGGAGCTGGGAGCCCCACGGGCTCCTCTGGGCGCTCCACACTTACCGGCCTTGATGCTGGAAGTCCCAGACCGGCGAGTCCGTGTTTTCCACCACGGATGTGGTCACGGGAGCAGCGGCACCGGCGACGGCAAAGGACACGTAGCTACTAGGCGCCGTCACCCCTCGCTCCGTTAAAGGGCTCCCTAAATACCAGACAGAATTGGATACAGAATCGTAAGCAAAAGATACTCGTTGATTATATTTTTTTCTAAAGGCAGATCAGCAATTAAAATATTTGCTTAAGAAATCCACCAGGTGGGAAGTACTGTTTTTGATCTGTGCACAAGTTATACCTAAACTAGTTCCAAAGCTTTGCAGGGAAATCCACCAGGTGGGAAGCACTGTTTTTAATCTATGCACAAGTTGGACCTAAACTAGTTCCAAAGCTTTGCAGGGTGACTTGCATGGATGGAGCAGGAAACACAAACACTTTCTCCCTCATCTGTCCTGGAATAACGTGGGAGAAGGCTTGGGAACGTGGGAACACACACAATGAATGAGCTCATCCCATCACTGAGGTTAATTAGCTGCAGTGGGCATGGCTTGTAGAGCTGCAAGAACATTTTAGTGCTTGTGGAGCTGTTGAGATGCTGAATTTCTGGATGATGGATTTAGCCAAGCGGGAAACAAGCCCAGATTTTGCAACCAAACAGCGTTTGGACGCGGGTTTTTCCTATTCCTTCCTCCTCCCTGCTTTCCACGGACACAGCACGTGCCTGGGACTTGGTTAAGCCCTTGCTGGCCACAAACTGGGATCAAAACTGACAGGTACGAACTTGATTTAACTAAAAATTCGCTTTTCCCCTGAAGTTTGATGCTCTGATCAAATGGGATCTATTTGCACTGGTTTCCTGTCCCGCTTTATCCCTTGATCTGCAAAGTTTTCCATGGTAGATGAGTAGCTTTGTATTTTTTTTTCCTTTTTTTTAAAACACACACAATTATTTCAGTTGAAAACATTTGTTCAAAAATCACCTCTGCTGATAAGTCCATGGACATGGCAAGTGAAAAACACACATGGGTAATGTGTGCTCAGCTCAGAGAAGCAAGTTAGACCTGTCTGGACCCGCTCACTGGAAAGGCAGACCTAAAAATCAGCCTTTACAGTCAAAGGCCAAATGAGCATTTCTCAAATTCTAGGTTGCTTTCTTGTAGGAAAAACTGCATAGAGTTTGTCACCCAAAACATACTGGATGGGAAATGTACTCTAACATATTTTATTTGTAATGCAGTAATGAAAATCAGAGCTTATTAAAAAAAAGCCACTGGTGGTACTCAGTATTTACCAGAAATAGTGGTACTGCAGTTGTTCAATGGTCAGTTTTCAAAGACCTTTCCAAAAAAATCACTTATTCATCTCTGTGTTTAGGTAGCAAGCAATGGTCTGAACAATATCTGATCACTGCAAATGCTGAGCAAACACAAAGTGATCAGGTCGTGCAGTAATTCTCACTTGAGAGGAGGGAAATTGGGTGTCGAGCTGGGTGATTTCAGGCTGCTCTGCCCTTACATTGCCCTTCCTCCCTGCTGTGCCTGGCAGCCTCTAGATAGCACAAATAAGCTGGCTTTACACATTGATTATATGCTAAAAATGCAGGATTGGCAAGAGTCTGGGATATGAGTGTCTTGGGGTTAAGTTGTTCAGATAACCCTTAACTTCAGAATTCAGCTGTCAGCTGCAGTGTGAATATTGTTCGCATTTTATTTTTCATTAACAGAGATAACCCAGGTAATTCCTCTTCCTGCTTCCCCAGTGCTTATGCAACGATCTTAGGGCTGCGACACTGCAAAGCCAAGCTCAAAATCCATCTCATCCACTGTGTTTGGATAAATCTAATGAGAATTCCTTGGTTTTCGGTTTTAAAATTCCTCCTTGCGGTACCTGTCATGAGCAGATCCAAGGGGAAAAAAAATAAGGACTGTTTTATTTTTTTTGTTTTGTTTTACCTTTTAAACTTAGATGCATTGCTCTTTCCACAAGGATAGTGACAGCAACTGTGTTTTCCAGAGACACCAACTCTTCTTCGGAGGGTTTTCCATGGGTGATTTCGGAATTTACAGTCTCCAGCTTCTGACTGTGATTTTCAGGGACGTCTGGGGCTTTCTCTGTTCCATCCTCGCTGCTGCTGGAGTCCTCAGCACAGCGAGGTCTGCAGCCCAGGGCAGCGGCCGGGGAGGAAAGCGCCACGTGGACACGCACGGCGGCTCCCGCCAGGTCTGCGGCGTTGCAGCGGAACAGCGGATAGACCCCTGCAAAGAGAGTGCCCGAGCAGCCAGCTGAATAAGTCAGAGGGAATCCCAGAATCCCGGAAGGATTGAGCATGGCAGGGACCTCCAGGGATCCCCCCGTGCAGCCCCTGCTCCAGCAGGGACACCCAGAGCACGGGGCACCCGGGCGCATCCAGGCGGGTTGGAGATCTCCAGAGCAGGAGACTCCACAGCCTCTCTGGGCAGCCTGTGCCAGGGCTCCGGCACCCTCACACCAAGGAAGTTCTTCCTCACATGGACATGGAGCTGCCTGGGCTTCAGCTTGGCCCCGTCACCCCTTGTCCTGGCACCGGCCACCACCCAGGAGAGTTTGGCCCCGTCCTCCCTGCACTCTCCTGCCAGAGTTGATCACAGTAAAAATCTCACCTGATTGAGAGATCCCAGCAGACTGATTTTCCATCATGGTTTCTGTACAAGGTTTTAGCAAGGGCAGTATCAGGAGAATCAGCTCGTAAAGGTAGGAACAGGGAGCACCTCCCCAGATGGCAACACCTTCATTTTCCCCCCAGCACTAATAAATGGAGCTAATGACCTATCCACAGATCAGCCTACAAACTGCTGGCTGTGCTGGGTACCACATGGTCAATAAAAGTGCAGGTAACTGAAGGGCACAGCAGTTTCCAAGATACTCCCAGTGCCCCATCCTTTGCTCAGACCACTGGCACTCAGCCTTCTTGGAGGCATTTTTCCTACTCCTGGCTCTTTTTTGCTTTATTTGGATACCAAATCATTTGAGGAACAATCTCTAATTCTGAGAAACATTCCAGGCTAATCCAGGCTATTTTTTCATCCACTACTGATCGTTACTGTCAACTTTTCACCCACTTAAGTCGCTAAGTCTGGAACTTGGGGAAGCAAGTGCATTAACTTTGTTGATCTCCACGCAGAGGAGAGGGCAGTTGAGTCCTTAAAGGGCAAAACAAAACAAAAATTTTGTTTAAGGTGTCTAGGCAAGTTAAGCCAACAAGAATGTCCCTTAAGAGGGATGAAATGAGGGAATGTTCTTCAGGAACTCACCACTCACGCTCAGGGTTTTCCTTGAGCTCTCTGCGAGCGCTGCGAGGTCAACGTAGGCAGATCCAACAAGACGATCTGTATCAAGGGGTCTTTTCACCTCCTTTTCTTTACCGTACGCCCACCACACCTGGATTTCTAACTTCTCCTCCCTGAGGAACCAGTGCAACCCTCGGCTCCTTCGGAGGGTCATCCTGGTTGGTTTCTTGAAGTTCACCAGGACATTCTTTTTGTCATCACTCAATTTCGGCCTCCTAAGCAAAGTCCACGTGGCTTCCTGATTATAGAGCTTATACCTGAGGTAGCAGTAAGTGCTTTTATTCAGCTGCTTCTGGCCTGCAAGCAGCACGCAGTGGACTGGCAGCCATACTCTTGGGGTAGAAACAGTCACAACTGCTGGATTGTCACCCTGTTCCCACTCGTCACTATCATCCATGCTGTCCTCCGGGTTTTCCTCGCTGCTCCAGCCTAAAAATTTAGCAGCCTCCAAAACCTGCTCCCTGTCATCGTGGCGAGCAAAAGTTATGGAAAGCTCCAGGCCTCCCACGATGGTCTGCATGATGTTTGTGCCATGGGAAGGCACTAAGTCCTCTGAGAGGGTAACTGGGTACCACCCTGTTATTCCTGCAGAAGAGATCAAAATTAGCCTTATCCAATCTCCCGGAAAACATCAGGAAAGATTTTTTTCATGCTTTAGTCATTAGTCCAGGACTTTCACTTCAGAAGTGAATATTTGGAATTTGTCAAATCAATTCTAAGCTGAAAAAACAGCAGGTTGTCACCTCAGAAAACCTCACGTGTAGTTGTGATCCCAAAGCATTTCACTTCCCACTTCCCTAATGATTCTCATTTCACAATCAGACCATACCTCACGCATCCTCAATACTAGAAATGGTATTTTACATTTCATAAATAAATAAAGGAATAAAAGAAAAGGTTAACTAAATTGCTTTTTAGATTATCTAAGCCTTTGTTTACCGATTTGTCATCTCAAGAGCATCACTGGTTCTCAGTCAAATTCTGTGACTCTTGGACTTTCAATCATAAAGTAGAAAATAAGCAGTTTATAGTGCCATCTATACAGCGTCTTAGAAAGGTGCAACTGGCTGCTCTAATTTCTGGAAGACTCACATTAGCATAAATTATACTAATCACAGAGATTAACTGTTGTTCCTGTCCAGCAAATTGAAAGCTGATCTTCAAACAGCTTCCATGGTATGAGTTTCCTTATATAGGATTTTTAACATACCTATATGCAATTCCTGAGAGAACTTTGGTCCAAAAAATAAGAAACAAATTTGTTTTAAGTAATTATTTACAAGAGCATCTATATGAAGTGTTGCTAGTGTAACTGCCACGTTACCTGATCTTTTTCTCAGCAGGTCTCTGGTTGGAACTGTGACAGTGCCAAGCAGATAATCTCTTGATGACTGGGCTGCCATCGTGTCAGTGGCTGGAAAAATAAAAAGTTTGCAAATAGAGCAAACTAGGATGCAAGATTCAGAGTCTTTTTCTAGAAAATACTGCATCACATCAACAGCAGATAGCTTGGCTGCCAGAAACTTTTAACCCATGGAAAAAGGACAAAAGTCCAAACAAATGGCTCAGGATATATCAGGTCCAAATCAGTGAGAAAACGGAGTGTGAACAACAGTTGTCTGCAGGTATAGCCAGCGTGCACCAGAGCACATTCATTTCAGGACACTTGCTCCACCCTCGCTATTAATTTTTTTCATTGAGAAGAGATCTTGATCACCTGGAGTCTTGGAAGCCTTAATTCTTGTGTATGGGGAACAATCCTTCCCAAAACCTTCTCTGAAGGCAGCTTAGCTAACTACACCTGTTACTGACTGCACAAAGTCTCTCTTCTAAATGGAAAATTAATGGGATTGGATCACTGCCTAAAATAATCCATGATTTAGTCCCTGCACTCACTTGTGGTGCTTACCTGACTTGACGCTCTGATGGTAGATAGAGAAGATGACAGTGGCAGAGTGCAAGAGCTCCCCCAGAGAAGAGGCTTCTCCGCTGCTCTTCCGCATGATGAGGTGACAAGGAAACTCCATGTGGTCCCCGAACTCCGGGCAGAAGGTGTGAGCCACAGCGCGCGTGTTCTGGCTCTCCCTCTCCGGGAGGAAAGAGGGGCACACGGACACGTAGGTGTTGACTCCCACACCGGCATAGTACTGGAGCGAAGGGTTCTTTTCTGCAGCAGCTCTTCATTCAAGAAGGGAAAGGAAAACAGAGAGGGGAATTAATACAATGTGCAACAAAGGTGGGGAGCAATGCAAACAAAGCAAAGGTTTCACGGTGAAATGAGCCGTGAGACAAAGACAAAAAAATGGATTCTACATTCCTGAGTTTTGCCTATCTTAGAAGCACTTGGAAAATGTTTTTATCTGCGCGGCGGGACTGTTAAAGGTTAAAATAGATGTGGGTTTAAAACAGATGGCCGTGGGTTTGTCTAGGAACAAGTATGAAATGGTGGGAGTAGCCATCAGCAGGTCACCACTTTGGGGGCCAAAACAGGTGAGGAAGTACTCAACACCTTTTAAAACAGCCCAGAAAAGGCAAGAGTGGGATAACGTCGCAGAGAACCTGCTCCAGAAGAAAGCAAAAGGCCAAGACACATGATTTTTATACACTAGTACTGATAAACAACAGGAGGTGGCATTGGCACATGAAATCACTCACAGATAAAACAGGCCAGGTGCTATTCAGGTCACACACCTGAAGAACCAGGATTTGGAGGTAATTTGGAGTTAATTCCAACTTTCTTAACTTCTCAGAGCACCACATAGGAGTGATCATCATGTGGAATCTGCCTCAACTAAGATAGACCAACCAATGCTCAGGAAAAGGCAGGGGACATAGCTCTAGAATGACAAGAGCCATCCCACCCTTAGGGGTGGGTATCAACTTTTGGTGTAGAAAAATATGAAAAAAGGTAATACCAATGCACTGCAAATCTAAACTACCTCACTGTCTGCCTACAGTCTGGAGCCTTTGCAGAACAAATGCTCCTGCACAACGCTGCAGCTTAAGGGACAAAAATAACCACTAAGGTTCTCTATAAAGTTATTTTCTCTTCTGATCAGACCCAGCTTGACTCTATGTCCCTACAGATAAAAAAACTGCCTAGTTACAGTCTGTTCTAACGCCTCAGCCTGCAGCCTCCAGATAAGGCTATTTTGAGAGAGAAATTTTTGTTTTACAATTAGACTTCACCTGGCTGCTGCCTGCAAACCAGCTGCTCTGTGTATCTGTACAGAAAGGGATACAGCTCGAGCACTCCCTATCCCTGCTGCTGTTTTCAGGGAACATCGGTATCTCACGCTCACATCAAGCAACCCTAGATCAAATAAAGGAGAGAAAAAAAAAGAAAGAAACGGTCAGCTTTTTATAAAGCTACATCCAATATAATCAGTGCTTTGTTATATCTCTCAACACAAAATTTACTCTATTAATGCTGAAAAAAAACCCCAAATCCGTGTGAAAAACACAGATGCACAGCTGGGAACTCAAGTCTGCTAAGATTGATTTTTTTTTTCTACAAGATGCTCTTACTCAGCCAGAAATTATGGCCTGATATTGGAGGCAGAGAAAAATTCTAATGTTTTTGTGCTAAGGGCAGTCTGATCAGCCATCATAGGACAGGCCAACCCCACAAGCCCTTGCTGCCAGTTTGCACACTCACCACCGCAGGGTTTTTACATCATTTATATAGCCCTGCAGTGACAAAGTCATCAAAAAAACAGTTTCTCTCCTCTACAAGCAGCTAATTATTATTACAAGTAGCTTAAAAACACTGAACTCCCTCTACTGTCCCAGCTTTTCTCTATTTTATTTTTTTTGTGACTATTTTTAATAACGTGTCTTTAATTCTTGCATCTTCCTGCTAAGCCTTTGTGATGGAGCTTGAGGTTGGTTGTGTTTAATTACTGATTCTTCCAATGAAAGCTGGTAGGAAAAGCATGTGTGGTTGATATCAGTTACCAACAAATATACATATTTTTATTCTCCCTGTCAGTGAATGCACCGACTTTCACATATAAAGTGAAAACCCCCAAATCTTCCTTACCTGATGACTGGAATTCCTTGGAGGAATTAGTCTTTGGGACCAGTGGAAGATTAAAGGTCTGTATCCCTATTTCTTCACGATGCTGCATAGTCACCATGGCACATAGCCGTGACAAAGGCAAGGTCCCTTTGGCAACCATCTGGTCTCTGACGTTTGGATAATAATACCTGGTCAGACACAAAAAAAAGCAGTGTACAATCATGGTATTTCCATGATGACAACAATCAGCATTTCTCTCAGGACAGAACACGAGTTCACTTTAATTCAGGTGTCTTCCAACACCAGTTGTCAGTCTCCTGGTAGCTGATGAACAAACTCAAGTAAGGGAATTTCTACAGAAGGAAAAATCATACGTGCTCCTGAGTAGTAACACCACAAAAGCGTTTTTCAGGAAGCTGAATTAAAGTACTATTTTTAAATGCCAGGCACTAACAATTGGTAACTTCAACTTGCTCTGGGCATTATCAATATCAATGTAAATATGACCTAAATATAAAAATTCTCATATGAGCTCGTGAATTTCATATAGTTTGGTTTGTTTAGTAGAAAAGCAAGTTTATAAACTGTTCATAAGACAGTTGCCTATCTTTGTGGTCTCTACTTTCTGTTACCAGTAATTAGCTTCAGTTGCCAAATAAACTATGATTTGAGCTTCAAGTTAAACGAGATAACCTCGTTTAGGTAAGAAAAGAGTAATCAGCACTTTTTTTGGAGAAAAAAGAAAAGAAAAAAGGACCAAATGTTGATGAGCTGACTAGTTTCTTCCCATTATTAAAAATCAATCCTGTAACCAGAGGTTTTTTTCCCCCAGTCACCTCTACCTGTATTGCTGTGACAGCTACAAATCACAGTATGTTGTTCTGTACCTGCACCAGACTTCAAACTGGATTCCTCCTGCAGACATTCCAGGTGCCGTAAATGCACCGACCAGGATCCTCTGCACCGGGACATGGGCAGGAACCGACAGGGAATGATGATGCTCGTCGTGAAAGATGGGATCAGGGATGCACAAGGTAGTTGCTGTACGAAAAGCCTTTAGCTTGATGCCTACAAGTCAAAGGAGTTGGTTAAAGAGTCAGTCCTGAACTCCCATTCACAAGGAGAGAAGCAGGAGACATTCAGGTCCTGAACAGGGTGCTGAAGCTTCAGACCCTTGAGTTGGTTTTGGGCAAGCTAAGCAGGACACAAGTGCTGGGAAGTCCTCCCTAGAAACACAAATTTGGGGATCACAAGCTGAAAAAGCTGCTGCTGGATGTGGCTGGAATCTGACAGTCCCCAGCAGCTGCTATGGAACAGTGTTACTGGTAGTGTCATTTTTCAGAGGAGATAATATATCGCTATTCAATATATTAAAGCTACCACTAAGTTAATTCCTGGGATTTTATTTATTTAAATACTCCTTCATTGGCCCTGGCTGCATTATGGAAGTGCAGAGAACCACACACTGCTTTACTACAGCAGGCAGAACATTAAAAAGCAACGTTTAACTAAGGCAAAGCTCTAAATAAGGGGTTACGGTGAAAGCAACTTACCATCCTCATGCAGTGCAGCTCCTTGGCAGGCAGCCCCTTGCACTGGGAAGTGGTACTGCACGTAGCAGTCAGCCTCCCCCCAGACTGTGGCCTGCAAGGGGGTGAGGCCCTTCACACTGTCCACCCGGATCTCAAACACGTGCTCCATCAGGTCCTCCCCTTCTCCATCCAACTGCTGGGAAAAAAAGAAAGGAAACCCACAAAGAGAGGATTTTTTCTCCCGAAATGTTCAAAGAAAATTAACAGCAGGATGGCAAATTTGTACCCTGAAAAGCCAGGAATACATTTTTAAGCATGGAAAATCATATACATCTAATTGAAGCTTGGTGGCAAAACCTTTGTGGCATAGTACAAGGCTCAAAGAATTACAATTTTCTGGAATTGTTTTTTACTGCACTTGTCATATAGGCATAACGACGAACATGCAGGGCAGTAAAAAACAGGGATAATGTCAAGACTGGTGAGAGAAAACAGGGTGATAAAAAAAGAACAGATAATACACCGTGCTTTTGCACAGAACATAATGATCTACAGCAAAACTGGCTATGGGAGAGATTGGAAGCCATTGATCTGTTAATGAAACCATAGCTAAAAACCCTGCTAGCAGCAAAAACAGCAGTTTAGGGATTGATACCATTGCAGGTGTTGGAGGAGGAGGATCCAGCGAGTGGGCAGGACGTGGAGCGACGGGAGGGCCGTCTCCTTCCTCGGTCTTCAGCCTCTGCAGTTCCACTATTTGATGAGCTGATCCCATAGCCAGAACAACCCTCAGGCTTCCACTTTTGCTGCCTGTAAAAACATCTATCACAGGCAAATAGTTGTCCACAGCAACGACCGGATACTGCGCTTGCAGCAGCAGATGGGAAATCTTCGGGTCTCTACAGTAGATTAAAACAAATTAAAATAAAATAAATGCCTTTGAAGAGGTCACCTGAATAGAGAAAAGTTGACACACAGCTCATTTCTAGTGAAACTTTTGATGTGCTGGAAACCAATCCATCTGCATTCCTCCAAAAGTCAGCTGTGTTGGTCTTCACAAAGCACAGATGCACTTTCCTCTGAGTGGGAATGGCCATTGCAGCATGGAGAAAGCAGAGCTCTCCCAAAGGCAGCACGGCCCTCGCGATCACCCAGCCCGGGGATCTGTGGGGAGATACCTGGAACAGGGCTCCCATGAATATACTGCATTTTTTGGAACTAGGTACATCTCTGGGGCAGGAAGACAAGAAATGATGGAGTCTCCATCAAGTCAAAAACTGCAAAACCCTTTGAGAATAAACTGAAAGCAAAAATAAGCAAATGACACACAAGATGCAAACAATTGTAGAAATGAGACACTAGTAACTAACATAGTACCGACCAGTGAGCTCCAGCACCATCTGATTTCCACATAGGATTAGTCTGATCAAACCAAAAGGAACTAATTCTTTGAATTAGAGAGAATCTGCTCTATTATTTCCATTAATTTAAATTGCTTTTAGCAGCTATGGGATTAAAACACAGTCAAAACATGAAGTATTTAAACATGTTTTTGATACCACAAGCATTGTCCTGTCCTGTGCAAACTGAGCATCCCTAGCAATGGGACTTTTATTTATTATTATTATTGTTGTTATTATTTTATCTCTTAATATTTTATCAATATTGATATTTTATTGTTATTTATTATTTTTATTAATTTTAATTATTATGCTGGGCATGATGATTTATTTGGCAAGACAAAAATGCTTCATTCTGGAAAGGATTAAGAATCCTCCCACGTGCACTCGAGACACCACAATGTTTTCTCTGAGCTTTACTCGGGATATACACCAAGACAAGAAAACACAGAGCAAAGATCCTTACTTGAATGACACGTAAAACTGGTGCAGAGGAAGCTTCACCAGCCCCAGCAGCTGGTCACAGCCAGAGTCTCCCATTTTGTTCCAGGCCTCGATGATCATGAAGTTGTTCTTGAATCGCTCCAAATGTTTGGAAGTCAACAAAAAAGGCATCACCTGGGGGAATTCAATCCAAAATTAATAAAATTAATACACACACACAAAAAACCCCACTGGAAGCTATTTGCTAAGTACAGGGCAGTTTGGCACCACTAGGTAATTCCAGAGAGTATAGTCTTGTTTTCTTTAGAAATGGGAATTAAAAATTAAAACTGTCCTTGTCTAATATGTTTCAGAGAAATGGTACTCTTGGAAAAGAGCATATCAGGAAAATAACGGTGATTTAGATAACAAATGATCCTATGTTAAAAACGCTATTTTTAAGACAGTAATAGCCATTTAAAGTTAAAATAAGTAAAGCACTTCAGACAATTGTTTCAGATCATTTTTGCTAGGCTTTTGCGTTCTGATTTTTCATCTAAAGGCTAAGAAGTCTGATGACTCAAACCACTAAGTACTGTGAAAAGAAACAAACAGAAAAACCCATGTTTGAACATCCTAACATTTCCAGAGAGCAATGGCAAAAAAAAAAAAAATATTAAAAGGAAAAAAAAAAAAAGGCTGTGAAACATGGTGATGTTTGCAATACAGTGTAAGTCTGAAATTCTGCTGTTCGGGCAGAAGTTCTGGCTCGTGCCAGGATGAAAATCCAGACTTCTGTGCTGACAAATCTGTTAAGAACAAGATGCAATGGAACAAAACAAAAACCCACACTTAGATATGAGGTTATCGATAATTTAGCTTCTATAAAGAAAGAAAGGATAAAACAATTTCTTTTTCAGTTTTCACCTAGGCTTTCCTGACCATTCCCCTCTTGTACTTCATAAATCTCATCTGCCATTTGGATGGCTCAAGGAGCTCTGCAGTGCAGCCAGACCAAGACTGAAAATAGGTGACATATTGGTCAGAGACAAATGGTTCCTAAATAAGTCCAAGTCACTGATCTTTGAAACGTATTTGTCAGTGTGAACTGGTGCAGTTCAAGCAAGGTAACAGGGACGAGGTGCCACTTGCCTGAGAGAAGTTAAAGGCAGGTTGAGTTGTGCCCCATACAACAGCAGAACTCGTTGCCTCCTCTGTGCTGAGCAGTTTGCAGTTCAAATACACGTTACAGGAACTGTGGAAACCACGTTCTCCAGGGGTAAAACCTTTTCCAGAGGGCACCATCAGCAGCATGTGCAGCAACAGCCCATCCTCTTCAGGTGGAATCATCTGTGTCACCACATTAGGGGACGCAGAGGTCGATACGGCCTGTGGGAGCTGTGCCACCTTCGTGCCGGTGGCTCCCGCCCGCTGCGAGTCCTCACGACAGCTCGGCTGGAAACCATGAGGATTTTCTGGATTTCCATTAATCCTGTTGGCTTCCCGGAACTCCAGCTGGGGACTTCTCACGGCATGAGCTGGGACATGCTGCACAGCCACAGCTGACCTGGCCACGGTGCAGGTGAAGTCCTTGTTGTCAGCTGCGAGCTCCAGGGACACCTGCGTTACCCAAGGCAGAGCGAGCTCATCAGCAGACATCCCCATACACCAAATCTCCTAGCCCTGTCTACCTGCCACTCAAAATCCACCTGCAAAGTGGCTTTTGTGCCCAAGCTGTAGTTTACTGACCCTGGCTTTACCCTGCAGCCAAGGGAATCTCACATGGCAAAACCCTTGGACTTGGAGAAGGTTGGAAATATTTACCCCAAACCTTAAGAAACAAAAAAGGATTCACATTTTCTTATAAGGGGTCTATAAACCTTCATACCTGAGACCCAGTGAATTAAAATAGAGAAAAAAGAGGAGTAAACCAAAGAACAGCCAGCCAAAATCAGTAACAAAGTGGTTCAACTCAAAGCCAATGTGGAAAACACAAACCTTAAGGGGTCCAACTTGGGTCTGACCTTCTTCTTTCACAGGGATTTCACAGGTGACAGCGAGCTGCTCAGACTGAATTATCTTACGTAACTCGAGGGCTGCTGAGCCAATGGCCACGGGCTGAGGACAGAGAGAGAAATGATCCTGCAAGCTTCTTGACAGCTTCAGCTAACTAAAGACACAGTGTGAAATGAAAGTCTTGGGAAAGTGTGAGAAAGCCATGGACAACCACTTCTGTGGTGAGTTACACCAAATGGGATTAAAGTTTCCCTTACTTCCAATTGCAAGTATCTGTAGGACAAAAGTAAGGGAAACTCCTCCAGGACCTAGAGGAGTTCCTGGTCAATGCAAAAAATGAACATCCCAAATGCTACTAACTGAGAATGATTTCCAAAATCAAAGATGTAAATTATTCATCCATCAAAAGAGGAATTCCTTTAGGACAGATACTTTTGGTGTTGATTAAAACAAAATATAAGCTGATTTAACACTTTCCACTGATTTTAATCACAAGCAGATGATTATGCAGACGTGGTTACTTGCATCTATTCACCCAAAAGATTTTTCTTCCTCAAAAGCACCATTTCAGCCAATTTCTCACACTTCACATGATTCCTCTTAGCCTTTGGCAGAGTAATGATTATCAACTGCATCAACATTAACTCATTCAATATTGCTTAACAAGGTGTGTTCTGATTAAAGACTGGTATTTCCAACTGATCCAATATCCTTAAACATCAAGAAATAAGTTTTAAAGATGAAGGAAGGATATTTTGTTTTGGTCTTTCAGCCTTGAACTCAGAAAGATCATTTAGTTGGGTAGAAAGATTGAATATCAGTTACTTCAGCCTATGGAATCTGCACTTAATATCATTCCACTTTACAGTATCTGGCAACGGATGATTAAGTGGTGGCTCGTTCAAGCCACATTAGTTGGTCTATTTTGATGGCTGAGACTGCACAAGTGCAATGAAGCTCTGCAGATAACTCAGAAAAACTACTATTTTATGCATAAGTATTTGGAGGAAATCCAAATGCCAAGTTTTTCTGTGCCTTTTAAAACACAAAGGTTAAAGAACTTTTAGCAAGTACCTTTTTCTGTGTGCTTTTTCTCATGTAGATTTTAAAAGCAAGGTCAGAGCTCCACCAGTGCTCTATCATCGTTCCACCAAAATGAACAGGGAACACAAACCGCTGCTGAAATTTTACCACTGCAAGGAAGACAGAGACTTATGAGCTCTCATCTGGGTCCAGAGCTAAACGATTTCAGGCTTGACTTGGAGCAGAGAAATCTCCAGTCTCTGTGTGGAAAACACGCAGGGTGAGCACAGACACGTGACGTTCAGAGACACAAGAGGAAAACGGTGACACTTCTCGGGAGGGTGGACAAATACACAGAGGGCACTTGTGTATCTACCAGAATCAGGGATTGAGAAAGGGTAGGAGCTGAAGGGGAAGCGCCTTTTGCTGGAACCCTCCATGAGAATCTCTTGAGGTTTCAGTCTACAAAATACGTTGCAAATCTGTGGACAATTAACATTTTTTGCAGAAATGTTCACCATTAATTCAATATTATTAAACTTTCCTGTGGAGATAATCACTGCCCTGTTATTCACACAATCATCCAACTTAGGTGTGCAATTTACTAATATCAAATTCAAACTGTTCTTCGTTTTCCAACGCCAGAAAATAGCACGAGGGCAGCACGACAACATTAATGTTACAGGAGCATCTGAAGGCTGCAGCTGATACAAAATCCATGCTGGCCTAGCATGCAGTAAGAGAAAACCCCTTTTTTCAGTGGAAGAACTTGATCTCATCTTGGCTGATGCATTTCAAGACATATCTGGACACAGAAAAAGATCTGCAAGAATAATCACAGGTTCAGGAGGAAACAATCTGCAAAGAAAGACTGAGCTGATTGGTGTTTACAAAGAGAAGAACAATAACAGTCTCGAAAGTCTCCCTGTGTGCAACGGATAGAGTAAATATTCTGAATAAAAACTCAGATTAGATTTAAGGAAAATTTCCTAACAGGAGAGCATTTTCGTAGCTCATCTGGAGAGGCTACGACATCTCTATTGATCCTTTTTAAGAACAGATAAGATAAATGATTCAAGAAAGATACTGGTATAGTGGATTGACTAGATGCCTTCCAATTATTCTCAGTCCTCTCTCTTCTTGTTCCAAAGAGCTGGAATCTAACTGAACAAGACAAAGGAAGCAGCAGTGTCCTCGTGCTATAAAAAGTCAAGATTCAGAAGAATTAGATGTTTTGTCTGGATTCAAACTGAGAATATACAACAGAGCTGAGAATGATGCCCAGATATCTTAAGCACCACCCAAGAAAAAAGCAAAGTCAATGAATATTACCATATGAGAGAGCCATGTGGAAAATGCCTTTCTGAATTCCAGTTTCTAGGAAAAGTGGGCACAGAGGATCTCGCTCAAGCAGCGTTCTTGGCTCATCAAGGACAGAAATGCAACCCAAAGTGTCTTGAGGAATAGGAGCCCTAGTACCTGTCTTTAAAGGGATGAAATATCTACCGATTTAAGTAGGATCCTACTGAGTCTAGCAGGATTCTCTACGCTCTTAAAATGTTACGTGATTTTACTGAATCTAGCACATTCTCTGTGCTCTTAAGATGTTACGTGATGTATTCCAGCATCTTGAACAAAATAGGTACTTATTTGATAGATAAGTATCTCTGATATTTATAAAAGGAATTCACCATCTTTAGCACTATCACAAAAAAAAATGTTTTTATTTTGGGACAAAGGAATGGATTTACTGACCCACTGTGAAGCCCCTATGAAAAAGAGAAGTGTAAATCCCAATGTGACTATTGCTTGGGAGCGGGAAAAAAAAATCACTTGGGTACCTCCTCCCCAAGAGGAACATTCAGTCACCTGCAGGGTAGCAACTCTCCATTGGTAGAGGTGCCACTAATGGTAATACAACTATTTTTTTCCACGTGGCCAAGAAAATACATAGCAAATGCTACTAAATAATTGCTGAGAGATGAAGAGGGGAAAACACAAGGAGGAAAATTAATGCTCTCACCATCGCCTGTGATTTTACTTGAAGCTATTCGAGTTACTTCTGTTGTCAGTGAGACCTGTCCTTTTTCATCCTTGGAGGCTCCCACAGGGAAGTGGTACTCTACAAAGAAGGTACTATGAATGGAAAAGGGAATAGAAGGTCACAAGCCAGGAAAAGTGGAATAACAGACAAGCTTCACATCCACAGTTTATAAAGCTACTACACAACAAGCCCCAGGGAAGTCTAGCACCAGGGAAGGGTAATGGGGTGGTGAGAAATGATTCCCCTTACCACTTTTTAACTAATGCAGGTCTTGGAGGCCTCCCAATGAAGCTTTTCTTTCCTGGTGTAACCTGGGTGCTCTCAGGAGGGATTTTCAAGCTTTCAATGATGACTCTGGCCAGGTGGATTCGCCCCAGCAGGGCCAGCCTATCTACGCTCAGGGACGTGAGACAAGCTGCTTTTGTACAAGCTTCTGAAGGAGCAAGTTGTCTGGGAGGAGAGCAGCTGAAAAGCCAAAACTGAGAATCAGGTCTATGCAAACATTCAGTAATTCCAAGGGAAGGGAAAAGAGCAGCTTGGCAAGATGTCAAAAACTGCTCGTGGTTCATTAAAATGCATTTTTTTTCCCCCTACATGTCCTTATACATCAAATTTGGTCGTCTCCATAACAGAAATACTAACATATTGTATGATCTAGTACCTGACCGAAGAAAAAGAACATGTTCAATGTTACTAATTCTTTTTACAGCATATGCAGATTAAATTTTGAAAAATAAAATATTTATTTAATGTTAGATACAAAAAAGGGATAAAACGCAGCTATAGCTGTGGATTCACTGCTGCAGAAGAGCAACAGGATTTTTATATGTTTTAAAAGCTCACTTGCATCTTATTTTTAAGACTTAACTGGTAAACACTTTTCTGTTGCTGCCTCTGGAGAAATGAACTTTACCTGGATATATTTTTTAAAAGCAGTAATTGTAAAAAAACTGTCACAAATATCTGTTTGGAACTGAAGCAGAAAAAAAAATGAAGTCAAAGCATAATAGTTGCTGGCATTGAACTAGTAAAGCTAGTGGATTTTTGAGAATAATAGTTACAAGTGCATAAAACAAATTATCTAAAAATCACTACTGTTTATTGTAACTCTCCCTGGTTGCTTGCCAGAATCCAGAATTCTTTATACAGGAAGTTTTATAAACACAAACGAGACAGAAAAAGGGTAATGGTACTGTTTTAATTTTGCAAATGAAGTAACATACCTGGAGGCTTTAAAATAAAATGTGTGACCATATGCCCTCTTTATAGATTTTAAAAACATATCTGGCATTAAAAGATCCATCATTTCAAGTCTGATATTTTAGGCACAACCTTATTAATACACAAAAAGCTGAAAATGTATCTAGCTACAAACAAGACCAAAGCTTCACTCAAGATGGAGGAAAGCAAAATACTAAAGAAAACAAAAATAAGGTTTGTCATTTACAGAGTTGCTATGAAAATCCCTCACTAAAAGGTTATTCAGTAGATTGTGCGATGATGACAGAATAGCAGAATTCTTGCTAAAAGTAACTTATAAAGGGCAAGATACTGCGAAACAAGTCACTAGTGTAACTCTTTACCTGAGTTTACTTTCCATCTCCTTCACCTCCCAGTCACAGGCACTCAACTCCTTCTGTAGACCCTGCTGGTTTGTAGGACCAGCTTTTTTGGGAGTTTTTGTCTTGGTTACTTTTTTAGAGGAGTTAACATCATCATCACTGAGGATATCACTTAAACTGGAGTCAGATTTCTGAAACAGAAATAACGCACACAAAGTATGAAGATAACAGTATCACTGTCAAGGAAGATATATAACAGTCACAATAAATGAGATAAAAGAAAATCTTGTGGATCATACAATTCTAGGAAGTGCCACTTCCTTTTTCAGTCTTCATGGACAAACAAATCCTAGCATTTTCCAAACTTAATGCCTAACTTTACAGCCTTTATATTATTATTTTAATAGTATTTGTTTGTAAGCAATGTTCTCACAAGTGTCTATATAATACTTAATGCTTACTAAGTCTTATAATACCCAGCCCTTAACCTTTTTATTTTATTATTAACTTGATGGGCACTTTTCTAATTTTAATTCACTCCAGGGATTGCAGATCACATCTCTTTTGCTTGCCACTTACAGGACCTGTGTAAAAAAGATTCTCCAGAAGACTCTGGTCGTAGTGGGGATCATTGAGCTCACTGTCATAAACCTCACTCCCAACAGAGAGAGAATCCAGAAGGGAACCTGTCCTATCCCAGAAATGCACAGGTGATAAGTCAACACTGTGGACGCAAGAGAGAAAAGACAAAAACAAAAAAAGTGTCATGAGTTTTGCAGACAATTTCATGGAAATTTTTGACAACGATGTTTACTGCACACTGAATTTGTGTTATACTGTCCATTTTTAACTGTGCCCAAGCTAATAAACCCTGTGAGGATATCTCTGGATCCTTGCTGGGGAAAAAAAAACTGTAAATATATTTACACAGAGTCACAGAGTATTTGAGATTGCAAGGGATCTCTGAAGATCACCTAACCCAATTTTCACTGGAAACCAGTGCACATTGCTCAGGATAAAGTCAAGCTGGGTTTCGAGTAACTCTGAAAATGGAGATTCTATAAAATCTCTGGGCAATCTCTTTCCATACACGATCATCCTCACTGTAAAAAATACCTGTTAGTATCTATTAATTATATGTGTTCACCAGTAACTTACTAAGTTTTGGAACTTTTAATCTATCAGTAATATTTAAGGTAAGTTTACTTACCACAAAACAAGCAACAAAAAATCCTCCTATCTCTGAATACATACAAGTATCTTTAACACAAGTTTGGAGAGAACTTGTCTGTTTGGTCTTTTTGTTTGTTTAAAGAGTTTTCTGTGTGTTCTGACTTCAAAACCATTTTGTGACCTATAAACACTTCAGTGTTATCTAATAATGAAATATAGGGAAAAAAGTAAGCACGGGAGACCAGACAGGAGTTGCAATAGCCGTATCTGACACAGAAGCAGTAGATGTCATACCTCTGATTTATACAATTTATACAGAGGCAATAGAAATATCACTGGGATTCTTACTACTCTTCACAAAAAGAAGAGTGATATTTCTTTACTTGGAGCATCTACCATTATTAGTTTTTCTCTAATTTTGACTTAGATACTGAAGTTCTCCAGAAAAATGTATTTGTTTTATGCACTTTTCAGCCTCTAAGGACACAACACATACAGCTCTAAAACAACTCAAAAAGTCTTATCAAAGGTCATGAGAAATCTTTCTGAGATCATTTCCACATTGCGTTGCTTTGAGCTTTGCAATTTTAGGTAAAAAACCCCACTCCTTCCACTCCCTCTTGTTGACACAATTTGCTTATACATTTCCAGAAACACGGAGAACACAGAGGGTCAAGGAGCACTCTTCAGCACTGAGCAAATGAGGACAATTCTGCAGGAAACTCTTCATTTTGATACTCACCTGCCCAGCAGTAACTGTATTGCTCTCTCTTCAGAGTTTAAGTCCAATTGCTGACCTGAGACTTCACCTGAGAAGAGATCTTCTGTGGCAGACATAAAATTTGAGTTCAAGGTTTTGGGGCTCCTGGATAACAGGGATAGCATTAAAGAGAGTGGTAAAAAGGAAAATAATCAGTATTTCTGATATGTTGAAGAGTGAAGAAAAAAAGAAACTTTTTCTCTTCATTTCCATTAGATCTTAATAATAATTAGATCTTCCATTAGATCAATGACATTTTTTCAGTTTTGTAATGGAACAAACCCCAGTCCTTACATCATTCAGACATAAGGACTTAAAGTTTCTCTTGCATGAGAGTACCTTTGTCTTTTAAACTGCAGTCTCACTGAAGTGAGAACACTTATTTAGTCTAATGCAAAAAGTAAATTTCAGTTACATGTAAAAAGGTAAAAAAAAAATTTTTCCAATCTGCTAATAAAGGACATGCAGAAGAGGAAAATAACTTCTAATTCTGAAAACATGGTTATAGATTTAAATATTTACAGTACAGTACAGGTTTGGAACATAAGCTCACTTTGCTTTTTGCAAACTCACTTTGGTTTTGCTTTGAAACCATCTGTCTCTATGAACGCAGGCACTTCATCCAGTTCAATCTCCATGTCTGGGGTAGATTTCATTGCAGAAACCACCATGGCATCACGGAGTTTATTGCCTTGATCCAAAAGAGCTGAAAAATAAGCACAAGGAATAAATCTCCGCATTTGGACGTCACCTAAATGCCATGTGCATGTGCAGTAAGATTAATTTGTCACTTTAGGATGTCTCAGCAGCAGTCTACTTTCAAGTTTTCTCACTAAATATAACAAATAACTCAAAAGATAACACACACAAATTTACCCTGCTTTGGTGCTTATTTGAATTCAGGACATGGAAGGTGTCCATGTGATGGAAGATATTCATTTTCCATCTGAAAATGCCGATGTTACCGCATTTGGAAACCCTTTCCATCCCAATTCAAACGCAAGCAGCGCCTTTGGCACCCAGCACAGAAGCTGCATCAACAGGACCAAATCGAAATTTAATTTTTATTATCATTTTCTGTTCCAAACAGCATAGCGAGAACATGCAAAGTATCGCTCTTCCCTCAAGTCTTTAGTTGTTTGCCAGTTGTATTTCTAGGCAGAGAGCTAAAATATTATCAAGGTGTATTTGAGGTGGAGTTTAAAGCATGACACACCTGAAAGCAGGTCTTTTGTAGCTGGGTTGTGCAGAGACAGGACCCGCACGTTCGTTCTAGCAGGTGCTTCAGGGTCAGAGCTTGGGGGAAATGACATTTGCTGATCTGAAGGATTCACTTTGAAATGTTCGTCTGGGAAAATCCGACGGTGGCGAGAAGCAGCATAAATATCTTTTATGTTTTCAGAATTCTCTTGAAAGAACAAATTGTCTTTCCCTCTATTAAAAAAGGAAAGGTTATTTCAGTAACACAATTCAAATCCCTTCAAATTCTCCCTAGCCCTGCAGCTGCTCCCCACATCCCAAAAAGAAATGCAACGTTACTTCACTGACTCCCTATTTTCCACTCACACCATCAGACAGCTGTGAACAAAAGACTGAGGCACCTCTTGGATCAACTGATACAGCTTAAACTAAGTCAATGTAGGAAACAAAGACATTTCAGACAAGAAGCTGTCTCTTAAGCTCTTAATTACCAACTGCTTTGAATATCATACAAACAGCACAGTCAAGAAATCAAGTATTCCAGAATTCATAACTGCATTGCTTAAAAAAGGTGCAAATATAAAAAAAAAATCAGAATTTTATCTCAAGGAAAAGAAGGATACCTGGGAGTTGTGGCTCTGCTGTGGTTCAGAGACTCGTGGCCAGAAGTCATCCCTATTTGTCTGGGTTGCTGTGATGGAGCAAGAGGCTGGGGCTTGTCGCTCTCCTGGGCAGAAGGGGCGAGATCTAAACTTGCATCTGTGGTTGGGATAGAGCTGCTGGTGTCACACACTTCAGGCAGAGGTTCTAAAACCAGTGACACCTGAAAGACAGGATGTGAAATTAGTATTTCGCTCTTTTTCTCTTAAGTACAGCACATACACTCACCTTTCCTCTGCATGCTAGGAAAAGTTGTTGCTTTTTTTGTAAAGAAATGCATTTATATTGTACAGTTAAGTAGCACTTTAAAACTCTCACATATTTACAACTACTTATTTCATATTCCATGATTTCAAATCACAGGTAAACATCTGTGAGCATTAATTATCTAGAGTCAGGGCTGAAAAGCATCAACATCCTTACTCCAGATTTCAAGATCTGGTACAATTTAAGCTCAATGAGGCTCTGGAGAAGCAGTGAGGCTCTGGAGAAGCATTAAAACCACCAGAGGATCCTTAAATTCACTGTTAAAACTCATCCTCCCTCATGGTACAAATTCTCTTAGTCAAGTTAACTACTAATGCCACAGGCTGTCCTAAACAAACTGATCAGCACTCTCTGTACTGCTGATTGTGTGGAAAAGTTATTTTTCCATTTTATTTAGGCCATAAATATCTTTTGGGCATAAACCAGATCTGCAGTGCGATCCCGATATCTGACTATACTGTGAATGCTGTAATATGATACGATAACTAAGAGCAAAAATTTAAGGACTACCTGCAGCTCTCCAATCTTGTCGGATGTTGGTGAAACTATGGGGAAAAATCCGCTGATGGGATGGCTGGGAGAGAGCTGTGACAATCCAGTGATTTGTACTGTGCCCACTGGGAGATGATCGAGTCTGCTCATTACTTCTAAGACCAGCACACCCATATCTGCAAAAATTATGCATTAGTTTAATTGCATTAATCAAACTCATTAAGTAGCTTCTTACAAAACTTACTTCGAAACCTCCATATGGATAAAAATGTAATTAAGAGTATTCAGTTAAAAGGAAACAGATGCAAAAAAAAAAAAGTTAATGTAATGCTGTATCACAAAATTATGACATGAGACAATAGGTAAAGAAGGTTATACTGATAAAAGATGATAAATAAGTAGAAGATATCCAGTCTGTTACATGATCAGTAACAGCAAACACAGGTTTTTGGATGTAACTTAGACACGAGGCTTCCAGTTAAAAAGCGTGCAGACTTATCAGTAAAGTAGGCAGTTTAATAACAGCGCAAAATCATAGCAACATATTTGCACCCTTCATAGCCTCAGAGCTCTGAAATCCATAATATTTCATACACTGATGATGCTGGAAGTCATCAATGTGGAATTCGGTGGGGAAACTACTAATAGTGGAGCCCCGAATCCAACAAACACCCCACAGTGATGGAAAAGAGAGCTCAAGGCCCTTAAGCATAGGGAAATATGCTTTAAAAAAAGCTATTTTAGGTAGGTACAAGGTGCAGGACCCACCTGTGAGGTAGGCGGAGAGCTGCCGGGGCCCGCAGCGGACGGCGTAACGGGCTGTGGCCTCGACTGTCCCCGGCCGCAGGAGGATCCCGTCCGAGGTCTCCCCCCACCACCGCAGGCGGACGAGAAGGGCCGCGGGCCGCTGAGCGAGGGCCCAGCGGGCCCGGCCCACGGCGCAGCGGAGGAAGCAGCGCGGCGGGCCCTGCACCAGAGGCGGCAGGCCGGGAAGCGCCTCGCTGGCACCTGCGTGAGGGACGAGAAAAGAGACATGACA